TCCATACAAGGGATAGCCATTTTCCAAGAAAATGTGGTTGTCTTCCCCTTTATGTTTTTCGGGGCTGAAGTTACTTTGCATTTCGTTGGGACAAGGGATTCGGCGGCTTATGGAAAATAAGTTATGTGAACGAAAGAAAACAGGCGCCTAATTAAATAAAAGTCATTGTTAGGATTTGACAAAAATCAACATTTAACCTCTTATCTTATAAAGTTAATCGATTTTAACCTCTCACCTTATAGCATGATCTTTTTAGTTTTTTACATTATAAAGTTAGTAAGTTTGGGACAAGGGATTCGGTGGCTTATGGAAAATAAGTTATGTGAACGAAAGAAAGCAGGCGCCTAATTAAATAAAAGTCGTTGATAGGATTTGGCAAAAATCAACATTTAATCCTTTATCTTACAAAATTGATCGATTTTAATCCCTCACCTTATAGCATGATGCTTTTAGCCTTTTACCTTATATAAGTTGGTAAGTTTTAACCCCTTATCTTACAAAGTTAGTAAGTTTTAACCCCTCATCTTATATTATGATATTTTTAGCCCCTCACCTATATAAATTAAAGAAAATAACCCTTACTTAATATTAGATTATAACGTTCTGTTAGTTTTATTAGTTGACTGTTAACATTCATTAACATTCCGTTATAGAAAAACATGAAATTTAAATTCAATTTTATTTGTTAATTCTATTAAGGGAATGCTAACAAATGTTAATAATCGATTAACAAAATTAATAATTAGTTAACAGAATTGACAGTCAACTAATAGAACTAACAGAATATTATAATCTGATGTTAAGTGAGAATTATTTTCTTCAATTCATATAAATAAAAGATTAAAAATATTATAATATAAGATGAAAAACTAAAACCTATCAACTTTATAAAGTAAAAGATTAAAAATATAATATTATAAAATTAAGGCTAAAACCTGAGGCTAAAAATTGGTTTTAACCTTACGATTTGGGATTTGGGATACATTTGGTTCATTGGAAATTGATTTCCAAAAGATATTTTTTATATTTTAGTGTTTAGTTATCATTAAAAAATAAATCAACAAATTTTATTTCCGTCAACAAAAAATGCATTTATAGCTTTCTAGAAAACTTTTCAGTCCTGACAGCCAAACGAAAAATCACTACCTTCTCCCTAGAATGAAAATAAGAAAAAAAATATGGAGTGCTTGACCTGACAAGCAACGAAAGGTGAGAAATGCTGCTCATTTCCTCTTAAATTTGGGAATGCAATTGGAATGACTATTACTTCCTTCTCCCCTATATTTTTAATTATTCCTACTCATTCCATAATTAAAAGAAAATGAGTAACATTTTTCACATGTTAAAAAATTGGCCCAACATTCACTAAAGGCCCAAAGAAGACATGAGCCATGATGAAACACCCACATAACCAATGACATGTAAACCAATTGAATAATGACGTGTGACTTTAATATCATAAACCAGGGATATAAATACTCTTACTTCCACTGAAAAATAATAACTCCACTACACTTTTAAGTTCAAAACAAACACTAATCAAGTCTCGTTTTCTGAGTTCTAAATATACACACATAATTCAACATCACATTGTTCCAACAGGATGGATTATCGCCATCAAATTGCACCTGGTAAAAGCAAATCATATTATTCTGTTGAGTGCCCATTGCCATCATCCAAAATTGCAAGCCTCCTTCCACATTGCAGGGGTGACAGAACCTACAAGGCTACAACTATGAATGTCCTGAACCATTTGCATATATGTGAAAAATAAAATTCCTTCATCTAGCCTACAGTGATGCCACACCACGAAAAAGCATGGTTTATTTTTCAAGCTGTCACGGTTCCATGATGTTTACGAAATGATTTCCAATAATCTTCACCAGCACAAATTGCAAATAAATAAGCACACAAAAGAACACATTAGATATGCACATACGTATACACAAAATATCATGTAAATGCACTCACATCAGTAAGTGGCCACACCATACCAATGCACATTCATTCGCACACATGACAACATATGTAGGAAAGTTTTTAGCACAACTATGTCCATACAAGATTAAGTGTAATGTGAACATATGTAGGAAGGATTTTATTAACATGGAAGGAGATGTTGTAGTGAATTTAGGAACACACCTTTTTACACCCTGCATCTTTCAATCAAAACTCAACCCTAATTGTTGAGCTTCTTGAAACAATATTGCCACGTGCTTTGGGAAAAAAAATTGGAATATATTTTGCAGGTCTTTCACACATGTAAGTTCAATTTGCAATTTCCTTGCCTGCTGCAAAAATATAAGATAATAAACCAATAAAAAGTGAATATTCTATTAAATGAAAAATGTAAATCTAAACAACAAAAAGGTCAAAACAGAATCCTTACATCAAGCTGATTAAAAATATTGCTCGTGTGCATCTGTGATTGGTTTAAACAATTCAAACGACTCTTCAATAAGTGGTCCTTTTGGATAATTGCAACCTCCCTCAAAATAAGAAATTGTGGTGTTTTCATCTTAGTCACTTCTTTGACAAAGATTTCCAAATCAGGATTACACAGAGTAACATGTCAGGAAATGCATCTTCCAATTGTTCAAACAAATTTAATAAGAAAATGTTATAAACGTAACATTGTCTTGTGCGTTTAAAAAATTGCAAGGAAAAATTCTCAGTTCAAAATGACAACCCTTTGGCTCATAACAAATCTAGTGGTGGATATAGTGATCTGTGTACTAATGGGAAGGGGCAATATTGACCATTGGATGGACTTAATCCAAAGGTAGAATTGAGAGTTGAGTGGCAATCCATGCCTAATATATACTTGAACCATTAGATCAATGTTAATCAAGGACCAGGATTAACCCAAACAAACACAAATTTAAAGGAAAAAAGGTTAGAAAAATGGGAAAGATTTTAGTTTCCTCCAGATGACTCAGTGAGAACTCCTACCCCTCAGATCTCTATATCTTTGGTGATTTTCTCGGTTTCCTCCTTGCTCAAATATCAGCTTTCATTTCTGCAGACTGATTATCATCAGCTTTTATTTTGGCAGTTACGTTTCCAATTATTGTAATTATAAATTTTTCTTAAATTTTCATTAATTGGGATCATTTTCTTTTGTTGCAATATATCTTCGCTCACAGCTACTATTATTAATAACAGTGAAGTAAAACTATATTTTAATGGTAATCTCTTGTCCTATTTTGTACAAAGATTTGAGACTCTTGGAGATGCTTTAGATGTCTTTAATCACATTTGGAGTCATAAATCTTGTCAAGTCCTCTTTCCAGATTTGCTTCCTATTTTTAAAATTGAAGGTAACAATAAATACTATCCGGCCTACAAGATATCTAGAAAACCCCTTTTATCTTTTGTAGATATAGAAATTTTTTGGTTGTTTACTCAGTTATTATGGTAAAACCTGTTGACAAAACTGGTGATGGAAAACCAGTACCCGTTAGGAGAAAATCAATGTCTCTCAGAAATAAGGTGAACCTTTGTATATTTCAGATTTTTACAGTTTTTTTATCAAGGCACCATTGATTCTCACGGAGTGCATGGATGACTATGAGATCACTTATGACTTAGAAAGCATTTACACCTCCAAAAATGAACACACAAGAGAGAATGGTGTTCTCATTTTGTCAATTTTTAAAATGAACACATAAATGCTTTCTAAGTCATAAGTGATCTTATAGTCATCCATGCACTCCGTGAGAACCAATGTTGCCTTTATAAAAAAACTGTAAAAATCTAAAATATACAACGGTTCACTTTATTTCTCGAAACACATTGATTTTCTCCTAATGGGTATTGGTTTTCCATCACCAGTTTTTTCAACAGGTTTTACCATAATAACTGCGTAAACAACCAAAAACTTTCTATATTACAAAAGATAAAAGGGGTTTTCTAGATATCTTGTCGATCAGATAGCATTCATTGTTAACTTCAACTTTAAAAACAAGAAGTAGATCCAGAAAGAGGACTTGACAAAATTTATAACTCTGAATGTGATTAAAGACATCTAAACCATCCTCAAGAGTCTCAAATCTTTGTACAAAATAGGAGAATAGATTACCATCAAAATATAGTTTTACTTCATTATTACCATTAATAGTAGCTGTGAGCAAAGACATACTACAGCAAAAGAAAATGGTCCGAATTGATAAAAATTTAATAAAAATTTAAAATTCATAACTGCAATAATTGAAAACGGACTTTCAGAAATAAAAGCCGAAGATAATCAGTCTGAGGAAATGAAAGCCGAAATTGCTCGGCGTCAGCAATAGCAGATGCATCGGTATGGCTAAACCTGAAGAATGCACCTTGAGCCATAGATCGAGAGCTCTGAAAGATCTGGAATTAAATCCCTGAACAGATTTCATGTTATTATCTATATTCAGCCATCCCCATGTCTTATTACTTTCATGAGAAAGTTCAAAGTAAAATAACAAAAACAAATAAATTGCATATTATAGGTAAAACAACAAAACAAATAAATTGCAAATTATACGTAAAACAACAAAAACAAAGAAATAACATATTATAATCAATTATAAAAGAACAAAGACAAAGAAATCACATATTACGGCCAACATAATAACATGAACACAGCCAAATGCAGAACTATAATAAAACAATGTGTAAAAGAATTCAAAGGGAAACAATTAGTGTTAGAAACAATAGATAAAACACAATCACAGACATACCAAATATGAGTCAAAATGTAACTGGGCAAGGGCTAGGAAATAAAATGATGAAATCAGGTAACAGCAAATTAAGAACAATTAAACCACAACAATGAACTCAAATCATAATTTACTTACTCATCAATTACTCTAAGGTGCCAAAACAATCCCGAATAGCAATCATTTAATAAAATTAGAAAAGAGAAATCCACAACAATCATAGAAGTTTTTACAAACCAAATTGAAAGACATGGTTATTGCTGAAAAAAAAAAAAAAGGAATCCAAAGTGCTTAACAAAAAACTATAAATGATATATCATATGGAAAATTTATAGGTTTCAACTCAATATTATAAAATATACATTAAGACTTTTTAAATCTTGTAATTAGTTTCTATTTACCAATTAAGTTTCATCAACCATGACATATCATTTAAGTCAACAATGTTTATGAGATTTGACAAAGCAAAAATCCAGAGGAATGGAAACAAAATCACTTTTGCAGTCTTGTGAATGTTTTTCCCTTGAATTCTGACCTTCCTCATTCTGTAAAACAGATTTACTATCCTATGGTTCAGTTCAATGACAAGCGCATCATTTGGAGGAAAAAAAGAAAAAGAAAAAGAAAAAGAAAAAGACATGCCATCTGCATCTGTAGCCACAGCAGCTTCATTTGACTGAATTGAACTCTTAATCTGCTCAATCTCTTTCTCTACTGTGTGTCTTCATTTACCAATTAACTTGCTTACCCTGGTTGGGTGTCTATTGGATTTTAAATGGTTAATAATATGCACCAATAAAAGCACTGAATCAGATTGAGAAAACAAAAGCAGTCCAGATTCAGCTAAATTTAAATCCTTTACTATAGTCTATTCTTATCAAAGTATTAATATTTCCTTCCCGTATAAACTTGAATAAAAATACATCAAATACAGGTGAAAGAAGAGAGAAAATCTTGCAGCCTAGAACAACAGTGTAAATCCGAAAAGAAAAGAAAACATGAGAGATATAAAACATAGAGGAGAGAGAGAAAAAAGAAATAGGGGCCATTCAAAAACCAAAAAAAAAAAAAAAAAACGAATTGAATCTTCTCCTTGTTTCACAAAAACCCATAACAAGCCTCTCAACAAATCAAATAAAACACCCCTTCTCTTTTCTCTGATTACTTCATCCAACTCCATCTTCTGTAAACATGCACAATCTTTTTGCTGGCTGATAATCTAATAGATCCATCATAAAGGACACAAATTTGGACTAAAAAGCGAGATATTTACCTGACAGCCGATGGGTCTATTAATCTTTTTTCTTCACCAAATCAACCCCTGCTCTTCACCTCCCTCATGCTTATAACTCACCTTGTAAAGGAAATAATGATAATAAGAAATTCTGAGTTAAAAGAAATATGAGAGTAAAATAGATGGTACCCAGTCTAGTTAAGTTGAGGGTAGATCTTGTTTCTGAGCTAGTGGAGGAGAAAAACAGAAAATCACCAACAAAATCGACACATCTAACTTACTTTTCTCCAATTTTTTCTCCATCTGTGACCCATTGCCCATCCACATTGTCTCTTCTCTTTTCTCATCTCCTCTTCTCACCTCCAGCCTAGCCCCATCACTCAAAAGTTTCCCCGTCAGTCTCCCACACCCAGATCTAATCACAGTAGATCTACCTACTTCTTTCTTCTCTCTTCACTTAACCCCTTTCACAATCTTCCTCTACCGCCGGCAGCAAGAGAGGAAATGTGATTCAGATGAGAGAAATGAGCAATTTATGAAAGGAGATGGAGGGTTTGGGGCTCAAATCTCGACAGAACAAACAAACACAAAACACCAAAAGTAAACTCAAACCGCAGAACTCAACTTTCCTTTTTGATGATCAAGGACCACGACCAGATATTGCGAGAATCAATCAAACGCAAAAACGGAAATAGACCAGCATAGGCACTGCAAAAACAGGAAGAGTAGAAAGACCCAAAAGCCATATTCCAATAGAAAAAGGGGAAACAAAGCCCCGAGGGCAAAACAGAGAAACACATTCTTTGTGAGGGGTGGAAGGGAAGAGGTTATGAAATGACGGCCATGCCCTCCATAACAGGTGAAATGGAGGAACAAAGTTTTGAGGACAAAAGTGAAAACTTAATATCAAATGACAAAAATACCACTAATGACTTGTGAAATAAAGTGAGAAAACTTGGAGGGCAAAAATGAAAAAATATAATTTACTGTAGCAATGTGAGAGGGAAGCCTTCCGCCCATTTACTTATTTGTTTGATTTTATTATTAATTTATATAAAGAATTATAAAAATAAAATTTATTTTTAAATTTTAACATTATGTGAAATAATTTAATTAAATAATTAATAAATTTAATTTATTTTATATTTTTATATAAATTAATAATAAAATTGTATAATAAAATAACATTTAACATGTGCTTAAAAAATTTCAATTTATAACAAGTTACTTGCTCAAATATATATATATTTTTTTGAACAATTTTGTTCGCCCCAGAGAAGAGGAATGTAAAGCTACTGAGCCACGCGGGCCAAGTGCTATTTGCCCAAATATCTAATTTAACAAAAAAACAAAAAAAAAAGGATACTTCTAGTGCACTGTTAATCGCATAATAACAAAGGATTTTTGGTGGAAGACCATAAACAGGCATATGTTGGTCTGCCACTTGATTGGTGGACGCCTCAACCTAATATTATTAAAATTACATAGAAGCAGATTAAACCAAATCCAGAAATAGAAACCAAGGAAGAGCAAAAACGGGTAGGAGACCAAAACCCCTTCACATCGAATCCCAAAGAGAAAATTTGTTAATTTTAAACCAGGAAAAATAGGTGAATGTAGATACACCCAATGAGAGATACACCCAATGAGGGGTTTATCTAATAAATTCCACTATCTCCCAGACTGAACGAAATAAGGAGAGGAGTGGCAAATCTCAGAGTTTCATTGATGCCAAAATCCTCAAACGATTGGAACGTTCTTGTTTATTTGAATCGTATCATCCATGATAAATTGTATTGTATATGCACATATTAAGTTTTATTAATTATATTATTTATATAGAATTTTATATAAATTTTTATATTTAAATTATATATTTTTATTAATTTTAATTAAATATAATATAAAATTTTATATAAAATTAATTATTAACATTATTTTTAATAAAATTTAATCTATATATTAGAAGTTCAGATAAAAAATCCAAACTCAATTAACAAGTAATCAGAAAATAACCCCTCCGAGACTGCTTAGAATTTTTTTAAAACTAGTTCAATAAGATGATAAGAAATGAAATTGTTAAAACTTCGACTTTGAAGTTCAAAACGTTACCACGCTTTTCGAGCTGTGGCCATGGGGCACAATGGTGGGTGGTTGGTTGGCAAACTTCTTAGAAATTTAGCTGCAAAGATCAAAAAGGTCAAGAAAAAGAGAGCACATGGAAGAACAGAAGCTAAAGAACAGACCTGCTCTCTGTGCCCCTAAGGGAAGTAAAAAGACGAGCTCTCTTCACGAGGGACGGTAACCAGAAATAACCAGCACATGCATTGCCAGAGCTCCACAGAAAGAGGAAGAGCTAATGCAGCAGGTGCATCAGAGCTCGTAAGTCTCTCTTTCTATTTTCTTTTTGTATTCCCTTTTCTCTCTCTAGGAAGATGGTGAAAACTGAAAACTGCGAGCAATTATTTCAACTGTGGTCAATTTTTGACTAAAGATACCGTCGGCCAATGTTAATTTTTATTTTTATTTTATATAAATTAATAATAT